ATAGAAATGGAGACACCTCCAGTTAAATGATATATTTTGATGCACACGATGCCATCAATTAAATACCATATAACAAAAATGAAGGAAAAGTCAATATGTTTATTTATATATACTGGTATATGCATGTACTAAAAACTGTTCGACTCAATGTGACCCATAAAATGACAGGCGTCGAATGAAAGCAGATTTTCTCTTTCATGGTGCAATCCGCATCAAATGTCGTCTAGAAAAAATACCTCAAAGTTTCAAACTACCGCACTTAGATCATAAGGCATCAATAATGCAAGCACTTCCTTGGACTAAACACTGAAATATGAAGACGAACTGTTCTCAACCCTGAGAATTGAATCAACCGTGGCAAACGAGTCACATCAAAAAATGTGATTACAGTCTATGCTAACCCGGATAACCTACTGTTATAAACTTTTTCTAAACTGTCTAAAGCCATAGATAAAGAAGGTGTTCCAATATATGGCCCTCATACAGATTCAAGCATGAACATTAGAAAGCATAATTCTGAAAATTTCACTTATTTGGGAGTTTCAAGAATTTGTTGTTCATTGAAATTGTAAATTTTGTAGCAACATCGAAGACGTTGTGAGTTTTGTTTTTGGTGTTGTGAGTTTTGTTTGGTGTTGTGGCCCTTACACGCTTCCATACATTTCAAAGCAAACGGTAATTTCAATTGGAATTGCAAATTGTTAAACACTTTGCTTTACATGACTTCTATTCTTATACTTCACACAAAACTGTTATATCTCAATTCCTTATTCTATTTTGCTTTATTTATTTATTTATTTATTTATTTATTTATTTATTTATTTATTCAGCACTTTGATTTAAACGAAGTCTTAATCGCAACACTGATAACACAATATATCAAGAATTATATATCTGACGCGTTGGGATTATTATTTAAAAGATACTCAAGAGAGACATAAATAAAGATCGAAAGGACTCTGCATTGGCCTGAAAAGATTCCACGGTAGGCAGGAAATCACTCACTCGGCTGAATCAATGATGACGGAAATCTGACTCATAAGAATCACATTCTTGGCAGACATTGACAAATATTTCGAAATAGCCTATGTGCAAATTGATACAGCAGCACTTCTTGGTCCCTTCGATCTTTCCATGTGTTTTTGTTGCAATGTATGTTTAAGTGTTTGTGCGCGTGTGAGCGCATTTGTCTTCATGCACACGTGATTACTCAACCGTGTGCACTTATTTGCAGGTTTCATAGCAAGCATAGGTCACGTCGACAAAGGATCACGGGAAAGTATGCCCGTCAAAGCAGACTTGTAGCCTATTTTGACACATGTACAGTGAAAAATCCTAATCCACTAACAGGGTGCTGGAAAAACCAAATGCATAAGAACCCAATGTAAATTTCACACAATACGTGCACATGTATACTTAATATCTTTGCTATATTAATATTAATTAACTTAATTTGTGATATAATTAAACTTGCTTATGCTAGGCCGCCTTCTTTTGCATTTGCTATTTACTTGGTGTCATTCATGTTGTGCTGAACATATTTGCATTAAAACAGTTCATGTCGGTTGCAGCTTTTCTTAACAAATATTCGAACCATCTACAAGCTTCTACGTTTTTTCCATCAAAAAGTAAACAGACGATATACACAAGGCATACCGGACTCTATATTTCTCACTCTGTAGGGCCTACGTGTGCAAAGTTGTGTACCACAAGTTTGCTTTATGTTATATTCATGCACCTAAACTTGTTTTTCTAACCCGCCTTCATCTATATCTATGCACTTTCAATTAATTAACTTATTGGTGTCATCCTTATTATACTGCGCACATGCCTATATTAAGACATCCTTTTTAGCTTTTCGTACTACATATTGTAAACCGATAGCCTGTTACTAGCTTTCCCTCATTTTATTTCTAGTGTGCATATGTAAGTACATGCTGGCCAGAGAAATACTGTAATTAAGATGGTTAATAAGAGAGCTGTGCTAGGACGACAGCAAGCTTTCTTTTTTTATTCGTCTGTTTTTTAATATAAACACCTGTAAGTCATGATTCTTATCAATTGGACGTCTTCCAAGAACTACCAAGAAATGTCTAAATATTGTTATCACCTTTCCCTTATTGCATTATATCAAATAACGAAAACGTGGCTCACGTGTAGGATTAATTTTACACTTCGTCCATAGATACGGGATAGATATGTTTTTTTTCTTTGCGTCTAAATCTGGAGTAATATACGCTTTATCTGCAGGTTTCTCAGACCCATGTAAACATTACATTAGATTCAGACGCATGTAGAACATTTAATAAAAGTGAGCGCATTTTCTGTCAATGTCTAACTAAGATTCAATTACCCTACATACACTTTATGAGCAACTTGTTTAGAGCCAGAAAGGCTGGTGGAATGGGAGTCAGAGTTATACATTGATCAATGTTTCAAAATCGGCTTTATTTTAGGTAGTGATATTTGAATTAAACTGAATTATCATGTGGTATTTTAAAATAGAAGCAGACAGTTAACTTGTACATTGAACCACACAGTGTGCACAATTATTTATACGGACACATTTCACTGTGCTTTACACAAACACGCTCACGTACACACACGCACACATGCATACGCACTCACACACAATGAAGTAGGCACGGACAGAAACACACACGCACAGACTCTTAGGTAGGCATGTAAACACACACACAAACACACACACACACACACACGTATAGCGATATATCTATAAAATTTTGACAAAGAATAACACAAATTTCATTAAAGGGGCAATTCTTTATTATTAACAGAGGCTACTTATTGCAAAGCAATGCACGAGACTACAGACAATTACCCTATTGATCCGACTGATTGCGATGATCAATAGACAAGACTTGATGGACAGACATAAAACGGTGCGAGATAAACATATCTTGCATTGGTATTGGTTGGATATTTGTTTTTATTCTTTCATGATGATGTCGTGCAAAGAGGATATACGTACCGGGGTACAGTGTGATTTTAAATTAATTACCTTTCCCCAGAACTTTCTCACCAGTTCAAGTTGCGCGGGCATACGTTCATCAAGTGGACTATAGTGCATAGTTTTTTAGGTTTCATTTCATCACTCCTCTTTCTTTACAATTGATAACAATTTCGTGAAACGAATATTTCAAAATTTAATCCGTCAGTCCAATAGCAGTTTAGCATTAGCAATAACACGTCACATTTACAAATGAATATTTATGGAATAACAGCATACAGAGCAAATTGTGGCATATAAAACAATAACCAGCATATCATCATCAAACCGCCCTCACAAAAAGCGTGCATCAGGTGACAAGAAGGTAAGATAATAAATGTGCGTACGCATGCACATACTTCCCTTCACAGGGTCGGTTTATAACTCGTCACCACATGATTAAAATATTTTATATTTTTGTTATTGTATGCCCAGGGAGGTGTCTTTAAAGACTGACCTCAGCATAAACACACGACACTGATCCTCAGACAATTCAATTACAAGGAAATCAATATTGTGTTGTCTTATGACGCGCTTTCGAATCGAATCGGTTTAACTTTGAATCTATAAGCATGGCTTCATGAAACACACTGAATGTGAAATTAACTTTTATCAAACTTCACACTTACCATTGTGCACAATTTATAGGCATCATAAGAGGCCTAAGTGTACAATGAGTGTGTACAGATTTTTTGAATATTAGAAAATATACATTAAAATAATTCAAATAAAATCAGTATAAAAATCAACGATCGTGACTCTTGTTTAGTATTTATGGCGGGTGTCTGAGAAAAGGAACTGCATAAAAACTGTAATCAATAGAAGACTTTGCACTCGTATGTCACATCTTCGTTCAGACCTTCATGTGTGTGTGTATATATATATATATATATATATACTGTACAATGTATACCTATTAATACATATTTCATTTTGCAATTTTGCTCATGTCCACATGGTCCTACCATTTAACCACTTACACACTATTCTTGAACATTTCATGTGGTCAACGTATTTTGTGCCTGAAATCACATCCGTGTTTCTAAACCAACTTAACACCTCCCTCGCGCTTGCTTCAACAGGATCAATACATTGATTTACACAAATTCCCGATTTGACAGCAATGCCGTTTGACCAAAGAAGTAATATTTCTTTTTCCTCTTAAATCAACAACCCTCTATAAAAAAATTTTTTTATACAAATTATTATTGGAAACTTGATTTACTGTCGAATTTTTTTTATCACTCAACACATTCAAATGCATGCCTGCATTTTTATTGAAACGCAATGTGTTGAACTAATATTAAATCAACTAATGCATTGCAACATATGTAGAGTTTAATACACGTGTTATATAATGTTTACGATATTTTGTCACGATATATCCAGTATTCCAACAGTGGCATTGGCAACAAAAGATACCCCCCCCCTCTTTAAATGACATGTTATTGTCAATGAATGTAAACGTGTACGTCTCTTTCGATCACTTATATCTCTATATAATTTTTAATGGGAACCGAACACTAAATTCAAAACAAACGTCTTTCCATTTTTTTCCTGTGCTTTAATTTCGAAAGTTGCGCAAGAACAGTCGTGGCAGGATTGCAACATCGCAACTGACTTTTTTCAAACATAGCGTTAACTATGTAATGAAACCGTGATAGAATTTTGTTCCTTTAACCGACTTATCTCAAATACACGAATAAACAAGAAGTGTTTAACTGACAGACATACTATTGAATTAAATGCTATTTATACCGAATAAAACAAAAAATAAAAAAAAAATAAAAAACATGTACTTGTGATTGCTCTATGTTTTTATCACTATGTATTCACTGTCGAAGTAACATACATTATTGGATCTTCATGATGCCTTTGATATGTACATAACGTCACACGTACTACTATGTGAGACTCTGAGGATACAGGGTATGTCTGTGTATAAAACAGAGTGAATAAACTTTCGTCTTCTTGCTTTACAAACCCTTACCTTGCTCGTCATCAGACGATGACGTAAAAGACGTCATGTCGCTCAAGCGAGTCAGCTGATCGTTTATATATATCGCCGGTGGTTTATTGTCTGTTGCGTTACTAGTGAAGTTTTGCTCGTATCTTTCTTGCATACTCTTCGTAGGTGGGTATCCATATCGACCCTCCCTGAAAGACATGTCAGGGCTCGAGATCCCCGATTCACCATTATACAAGGACGGGTTGATCTGTCCGATACTGGTGTCCAGAACCACTTTGTTCTTATTATCCAAATCTCTTTTGCTATCTCTGTCTACCTTCGCAGAAACTGTGTTAAGTTTGCGCTTTGAAAGCGGCGGATCACCTTCCGAAAACGCAGACGACGCATCAAAATCTGACTCGTGTAAATCATCATCTTCCAACTGAAATGTGGGATTGTGATGCGCCATATTGTTTCACCAATCAAGTCACTCTGCAGTAATCAGGTTATCCTGGCTGATTGTAATCGAGTTTTATCCTCTACTTTGCATAACTTCCGATTTTCACTGTTTCGGAGAGTGGTCACGTTTCCTATGCACTGTCCTGCAAGGTTTTTCTGAGTGGACTCCGAGAACCCGGGCCTAAATCAATACCACGATTATCAAATTTTCCACGGTTTTGACTGTCCTTTTAGAGTTTAATCAAGCGACAACTGAAACAGTGTGACTGGCTTTTAACTAGCTTGTTGACAGAAGAGCAGGTGAAAAAGATGCTGTATCTCGGCCAATACGATCTCCATAAACCACACAACTTCTATTTATCATTTGCATTGCCCTCATATGTTTCAACAGTGCTCTATGCTGCAGCTATAAACTTTGCATTGACTAGTACCCGCACCTTGTCGACAGACGACGCTATTCAAACACAGCGCACTGTTCTCAAACTAAGTGCGATGATTCCGAATCATAATTACACTACCACCAGCCAACGTGTGGTTAATCACTTCTATCTTCCTGTTTTCATTTTTTCTTGTCCTTTCAACCTAGCCAGTTTATTCTCATAACAGCCGTTATGAAACATTATATTTAAAAATTCATATTCAAAACTGGTCCTGGGCGCCGTATGCCCTTTATACGCGCAGTTTAGCAAAATAATAAGGAACACTGATAACATGAAATGAGGTCGGTCGATACATTTGATTTGACGTTTTAAGTCAGTTTTCTGAGTAAACATTGAGTTCAGAGTGGAACTTTACTGGACGAAACGCCAGGACCTGTTGCAGCAGGAGAAGCAAGAGAGTATGCCGTTATAAATTTCTGGAACATCGTATAATAAACAAAAGGGGGCGCACGTTGTCATGCGGGTTTCCATGCAATGAGGTCATCCAAGATTCCTGAATTGTTTAAACATTTTTGATCACGATATCAAGAGGGTTGTAGCAGAGGAATTATGAAAACGCGGTTATAAATGAGAATACTTACGATGACGCGTGTGGCTTTCCTTTCCTTGCCACAAGCCTATCGTGGATACGTATGAATAAACATATTGAGCAATGATGTTTGATCAAAGCGTGCGCCTTTGTGTGCGCTGCTAACCTAACCCCCAGAATATGTAAATACAGTGAGTGACTGCTGGAACAAAAGACCAAGAATCAGGTCGATCAGCCCAGCTGAAGTGCCATTATATAAAGATCACAACTGCAGTTGCAGGTGCGCAAGTGTGTAGGAAGTTTAACTACTATGCTCATTTGCGACCAATATACATGTACTTAATTAAAAAAGTCAACCCCTCTTCAATTGTTTTTAGTGATCATGTGATTAATATGCAATATATAAACTGCATATATTTTTGGGTGCTTTTAATGCTGACACCCCTAGCTGTGTGTGCGAACGAGATTTTCTAAATTGAGAAAATGGAAAGGGGAAAAATAACGTTGACATTGAAAGTAATAGTAATCGTTTACCGAGGAAAATGAATCGGCAAGGGAAGAAAAAGATTTGATCCATCCTCTCTTTTCCTAAAAGCACGCGTGTAACAGGCCCAACGCATTTATGTAAATATTAACTAATATGCACCTGTCTATATAGAAACGTGTATTTTATTATATATCTTCATAATTGTAGGATAAAAACACATGTCTATATCAAAATATGTCATTTAGTTTTCCAAGATTAATATTGTAAACCGGCAACCTGCCTTTGGAAAGATGAAAAAACAAATCCGCCTAAATGATCGGTATTGGATTAACTTTTATGTCATTCGGATAGTTTTCTGGTTTGGGCAATGTTCTCTGTTTGTTAACAAAAGTCTTTCTTTTTTCCTTTCATTTCCCCCCTCTGTTCTGGCTTTGTGCTATGTTTGCTAACTTTGTTAAGAAAACCTAGAGTTGCTTTCATACGAAACATGTTAATATAATCCCACATTATTGAAAAAATCTTTATTTCTACTGTTCTTGAAATTCTGCCATCAGAGGAATACAGTGGGCCAACATGCGTTTCAAGAACATCGATAGAATTAACAAACACCATATATTTTATAAAAATTACACTGGTTCAAAGACAAGTAAACCGTTACGCCTTAGAAAACATAAAGCATCCGTGGGATCGATATTTTATCATATCCACAATCTTTCAGTTAATGAAATGTTTGCCAAGAGTTATTGAATTTACCTCCTCACTTTGTACCCTTAAGTGGGCTAATTTGGACACTTTATAAATACGTTATCAAGCGTTCCAAGATAATGCGAACTATTAGTATTGGATTTCCGAGGTCCGATAAGCCAATCTGTTTGAAAACCCTGTGCGTGGTCCATTTCCCTGTTGTGATCAACTTACGATAAGGCCCACTGGTCGATATTACTACGAGTGTACGTTCTGGGCTTGGATGTGAGTGTCGAGGTGAATGGGGAGAACTGTTTCACACACCCGTGCACTATGGCCCTGTTTCATCAGCACTGGATAGTGTTATCCTATAGATACATGTAACACTATCCTTTGGATAAAATTGTTATCCTCTGGAAAGTTATCCTGAGGATAGCAGCCCTTTTCAACCACTGGATAGCAATATCAGAGATAAAAAAGTATCTACTGTTTACTAAACATTAGCTTACCCATTTTGTGTGATTTGGTATACGCTGTATGTACCGGTATATGCGGCTGTATATGATATATGATGAAAAAGAGGGGTGTCACCGTAACTCCTCAACTTTTTAAGCCCTGAATTCTTCGAAAAATGCTGACAATGTCAAATTATGCATTTTTGGGTATCAAGGGCACTTAAACTGCCTCTGAACTGCCAAAAAGTATTAAAGCTGAGTCAATACCAAACAGAAGCTTACGATACAAAATGGGTGTACAGATACAGGTACCTGTAAGTATACCTTTGTGTCATCAAAAGTCGTTATACGTGTATTAGGATTGTGATTGCGTTTGGTGAGTGAACGTCACACTGTTCCAGGGAGTCGATTTTATTCGCCACGAACGAGATGCAATTTTCATCTTGGTGTAAATAAGGAATGCTACGGCACATTGGCACATGCATGAGCACACAGAGCACGCACACACACACACTCACGCGATAAATGAGGAGATTTCCAGGGAACTGGGTTCTCGTATTTACTTAACACTGTACAATAGGCAAAAACCTTCAGCAGTGCATTTGTGTTTTGTTGTATTTCATTTCAGTCTGATATATAAGTGCAGAAACCTTGGATATCTAAAAAATGGAGATATAATTCTACAACATTTACTCAAGCGTGGCAGATCTAGAGGGGGTCAATTTTTTCCTCGGTTGTAATTGATTGTTTTAATTTTATACTTAACTGTAAACAACAGGAACATCTAGTTATCGATCTCAGCTCTTCACAGGCAATTGAACTTCCATCCAGCCCACTGCCTGTTTACAAACTGTATTTTCACTTTTGAACTGCCACTGATGACCGAGTGTATGTTACCGTGTATAACGACCTCCAGGGTTATTCAATAATGCGTTCACATGGAAGAGTCGGTTTTACAAGGGGAATGGGATTTCGTAATGTTGTCAAGAAATTTATCACTTATGAGGAAAAAAGCCGAACAAAATGACTTTCGGGATACTAAATGGGTTTTGGAGAAAAGTGTTGGTATGACGCTATTCGCAATTGGATTATTTCAAAAGGCCGAAGATGGGTTTTAAAAATCCACACTGGTACATGCTTTTTTATAAAATTAAAATAAGCAGTGTAATGCTGTACTCTTTTAACTTTGCATGCTAATATCTATTCTTCGAATAAGCATATATGTATTTCTGATTAACAGAATAAACAGGTACCCTAGCATGGTTAGTGATACACAAAAGCTACGTTATGCGCCATATTGCATTGCATTACGACATAATATCACTAATAAGAGTTAAAGCACCGTTGACTGACAAACAAAATCCAGTTTCTAGCCCATCAAACATGACTTGGAGATGGAATTCGTGATGATGAGGGCTAACGTAATATTTTATGACATGTACATGTGAAAAGCTTAGTTATGATTTTCCAAGACAAAGCGTTTATTAAAGAAGTCCAAAGTGAGTCATCCTTAGAAAATGAATAAAGGGTGACAGAGGGCAGTGTTGCACGAATTGAAATATTCATGGGAAATGTTTCCTATTAGTTCTTAATTGCTGTATGTATTCCTATTTTTTTACTCCCCCCCCCCTC